CGTGTGCACGTGTGTGTGTGTGTGTGTGTGTGTGTGTGTGTGTGTGTCAGGTGAACCCAAATTTGCTTGTGGGCAGAGTGACCCTGTGGAGTTTTTGTGGCCTCATTGAATGCCACAAGGAAGGGCTTCTTGGCTGTTGGCAGAGAGAAGAAACTCTCCGGAAAACTTGGAGAGCCAGAGCCAGGGACTCTGCGGCCACCCATCAGGGCCCCAGGGTGTTCAGTTGCTGGCCTCAGGTCCAGGCCCAGGGAGGAACGGGGAGTTTCTGGGAGAGCTAGCTAGACTGGGGTGTCTCCAGGGGTCACCCCTGCCTACTCATTCAGCCACTGGAAATGTTGGCCAAGAATGTGTTAATGACTGGCTACTATGTTCCCACAAGGGCTCCTGGAATTCCCGAGACCCAGTGGCAGCCTGTGCCCAGCCCTGCATGGAATCCGCCCTCTTCTCTGCCTACCTTTCTCAGACAGCCACACTGCAACTTGCTGAGCAGCTAGGAGAGGAGAAAGGGCATTTTTTCATAACTATCTTCCCAGGAGGGGGGGGTTCTTGGCACTATTTAGACCACCAAGTCCTCTGGGGCTGTACATCTGGCCTCTATGATTGCGTTCGCTTCTCAGCTCCCCTTTCTACACCGTGCCAAGAGAGTCCTCACTCTCTTTTGCGTAGCCAAGTCTCTGGCAGTTCATGCCTCCAGCAGCTCCCTCTGGCCCTTCCCACTCAGCACCTGTGCTCCAGCTACCTGGGCCCATGCCAGCAGCAGCCGGCCACCGAAGATGCAGAGATAGACCCGGTGCCAGGAGCAACCTGCTCCTGCCAGTGGTGGTCTCCACCAGGACAGAATGACAATAGCCCATAAGAGTCAGCAAACAGGTGTCTTAGAAATCTTAGTACCCAAAGCTGCTACCAAGGTTACTCCCCCTTGCCCAGAAGAGGAAACAGGCACAGAGAGTACTTAACTGCTTAAAGCCTCACAGACACCGTCTCCCATCCACTCAATTGTCACCGCTGATCCCAGGGGCCACTGTAACATGCTCAGGAATGACCC